GGGAGGTGGTTGACAACCAAATAATAATAACAACAAATAAACAGATGCCAGATCATAATGTGTCATGGAGAAAAGTAACGCAGGGTTAGGAGCGAAAGGACTGGCTGGGACGTGGGGTTTCTACGTTACACAGGGTGATGGGAAATATCTCACTAATGAGGTCCCCCTTGAGCAAAGACATGAAGGAAGTAGGCCCTCATGCACTGCAGATTCTCGGGGAAGAGCATTCCAGGCAGAGAGGACAGCAGGTGCAAAGGTCCTGAAGCAAGAGTGAAAAGGGTATTTGCAAAGAGCAGCTGGAAGCCAGTGGGGCTAGAGCAGCATCAGCAGGCAGTGGAATCAGGTGGTGAGTGCAGAGAGGTCACTGGAGGCAGATCCAATAGGGCCTTGAAGGCTGTTGTGAGGATTTTGCTTTTACTCCGAGTGAGATGGGAAGCCCTGGAGGGTTCTGAGAGAAGGAGTAACAGAACTGACATGAAGGGACTTAAGAGTCAGCCCTGGTGTTCAGATTAGACTGCAGGGGCCACAGTAGGAAGAGGGATCAGGTGGAAGGCTACTACACCAATCTAGATAGAGAGCTGATGGCGGTGTGGACCTGGGGTGGTGGGGAGGCAATAAGACCTGGTCAGAGCCTGGATGTAATTTGATCTGCTGGTGGATGAGATATGTGTTATGGTGGAAAGAGAGAATAAGCATTCAGTTATCCGCTGAATGGACCAGGTACAGGTGGAGCAGATGAGGAGGGGGCATATGGAGTTTGAGAAGCCCATGAAATGGCCAATGGAGATGCCCAGCAGAGTGTAAGGAGTTGGGGGGACAGTGTAGGCTGGGGATATAAATGTGGGTGTTGTATGCAAACGGGTGGAATGCAAAATCCTGAGGCTGGATGAGAGCACCCATGAAATATGGGTAACTAAAAAGGAGAAGAAGTCCAAGGACTGAGCCTTGGGGCATTTCAAAGTTGAGAGGTTGGGGAGATGAGGAGAAAGAAACAAAGGAATCGGAGAGGGACCTGACAGGGAGGTAAGAGGACAGCCAAGGGCAAGTGGCATCCAGGAAGCCAAGTCAGAAAGAGTTCAAGGAGAAGGGAGTGCAATCAATTGTGCTGGATTCCACTGAAAGTTCATGTGGGGTAAGAACTAGAACTTGACCATGGAGTATTCATAGACTGTGAACACCTGATTAAAGTGGATTTAGAGAGAATGAGAGATGAGTGGAGACAGTGGTACAGACAACCCTCCTGAGGGCTGTGGGGTAAGGAAGAGTTGATAAACCACTGAGAATTGTCCAGCAGAAAGGAAACAATTGGTGACGATTCAGGAACATGGAGTCAAGGTCTTTTGCTTGGAACAGTAGTTATTCACGGTAACAGAAGGGAAGGCAGAGCTGTAGTTAGAGGCGCAGCCTCGTGGGTGGGTGTGACCGTGAGAGTGCTAGGAGTCAGAAGTTCTCTTCCGAGTGCACAGTATCTCTTTTTTCAGCAAAAAAGAAACAAGGTCATCAGCTAAAAGTGAGGAGATGTTGAGAGTTTAAAGGGAGAGGGCAAGATGTGAAATGATGGAGTGAAAGAAAGGACTAGGGAAAGACACAAAGAGCAGGACAGCCAGGCAGACCAGGGAGCCCACCTAGGCTGGTGCTCAGGACAGTTCGGCGTGATGTGTGCTCCTCTCCAGGGTGGCTCAGCTGTCCAGGTGACGGCATGGAGAAAGAGGACAGTGGGATTAACCAGGGTCGGGGTTGCACCAGTCTCATGCACCAGAGAATCAGGGCCGAAGGAATGGCAGCGTGTGGAAGGGAACGGCTGTGACGATGGACTGTAGCATCCGAAGGGCTTAAAAGAAAAACGAGGGCACCAGCGAGGTGACAGACAGTGAACAGGAGACGGGAGCCGTATATCATAGATCCCAGTGGTGTCAGGGAATGGTTGAAGTCCAAGTACTAACGGCAGTGAAGGGAAATAGAAGGGGGGGGGGGGGTGGGGAATGGGACAGTTGAAACAGAGGGGGGGGGGGGGGGGGTTGGAGAATGGGACAGTTGAAACAGAGGTGGGGGCAGGGTAGTTTGGGGGTTATTGGTATTGGTAAATGTAGAGAGTGACCGTGGGATGAACGGCTGAGGGACAGCAGAGGACAAGATCATCGCCAATGAGATTAGCACCTGGAACTAGGGCACGGGAAGAATTACTGATGTAGACATTGACATCACTGAGACATGGTGCTGGAGGACAGGAGCATCCTTAGGAAAAGACGGCTGTGGGCCAGGCGCTAAGGGCATCAGGGACTCTGGGAGGGCCACCAGGGTCTGTAGGCGGTCCCATCAAGGAGGAGAGCTGTCGCCGCTGGACAAGTGTGCTTCAGAGCTGGGCATTTCATTGCTGCTGCTGCTGCTGGTGTCTGAGAGGAAGAAAAGAGGAGAAGAGAACAATCCAGAGTACAGCAAAGGCAGAGGGTAAGAAGGGCCTAGATCGGCGCTGTCGCATAGGAATAAAATGTGAGTCACACAAGTAAATTTTTCTCTAGTAGCCACATTAAAAGAAGTAAAAGAAACCAATGAAATTAATTATTATGTTATATTTAACCCGATGTGTTCAATATATCATTTCAATACATAATCAATATGAAAAATACTGATGAGATATTTTATGTTCCCCTTTTTTACATTGTCTTCCAAAAGCAGTGTGCATTTTGCTCTTCCAGCATGTCAGCTAGCCACCTCTCCTACGCTCAGTAGCCTCGGGTGACAAGTGCTACCATGCAAACAGCGCAGGTTTAGCTCCAATGCAAAACTGAAATTGCTCAGACAAGGGAGTCAAGTGTTTTCATTTTTTCATAACAAACCTACATCAAAGACTAGAAATAGAAAATCAGAACCTAATCAGAATTTTTGAGAAAACTGACAAGAACATCTTTCTGAGTCAGACAGTCTCACCCACTCGGTCACTCTCAGACACAGAGTCATTCAGTGTCAGCTTCTCGTTCACCCCATGCACCCGCATGTGACCCCCCCAACACCTCACTCACTCATCCTGAACCCACAGCCTACTGCACTTTTGCCACTGACCCGTACTCTGAAACCACCTGTCCTAGACTTTCCTTTTGCCATACTAGTTTCTATTCAACTTTTCCTCCTTTCCCCAAAAATTTCTTTCTTTTTTTTTTTTTTTTGTCTTTTTTGTGACCGGTAAGGGGATTGCAGCCCTTGGCTTGGTGTCGCCCGCCCCGCGCTCAGCCAGTGAGCGCACCAGCCATCCCTATATAGGATCCGAACCCGTAGCAGGAGTGTCGCTGCGCTCCCAGCGCCGCACTCTCCCAAGTGCGCCACGGGGCCGGCCCTCCCCAAATATTTCTAAAGAAATTTACAAAAATCAGTTGGGAAAGGTGTTCCAACATTTAAGATCAAACTGTAATTTTCTTTAAAAATCATAATGAAGTAGCCAAATTCTATGGTTCAAGGGATTTCTTTCTCTGAAGATAGGTCGAATTTCCTTCCATCCTTTAAAAATTTACGTGTAAGTCCCTGTTCTAAGTGTTAAGGATAAAGCAATAAATAAGACACAGGCCTCTGCATAGTTTTTCAGGGAGACAGATGGAACTGAATCTAATTCATTATGGCAAGTGGAATAAAGACGACCCTGGCCAGGGCTGGCAAGCACACCACAGATGCATAGTCCTGGGGCATCCAGGGAGGCCTCACAGGTTTGGGTGTTGAAGGGTCAGTAGGAGTTCATTAGCTGAGAAGAGGAAAGAAAGGCATTTTAAGAAAAGAGAACAGGGGCCGGCCTGGTGGCGCACTGGATAGTGCGCCGCTTGGGAAGCGTGGCGGCGCTCCCGCCCGAGGGTTCGGATCCCACATGCAGACCAGTTCCTGCTCACTGGCTGAGCGAGGCGTGGGAGCAACACCGAGGGTTGCAATCCCGTTGCCGGTCCCCGGTCCAGTACGGGGGCAACACTGAGGGTTGCGATCCGTTGCCGGACACGGAAAAAGACAAAAAAAAAAAAAAGAAAAGAGAACAGCCTGGGCAAAGGCATGGAGGCAGGAGGGCACAGAATGTTCCTGTTGGGGGCTGGGGAGACTTGTAGATCTGGGGTGGAGTATGACCTACAAGGAAAGGAATGGCCGGTTTATGAAGCTTCTTAAGATGTGTCAGGCTTATTCTACAGACTATCCTTATCCAGCCTTAGCGCTTAAAAATTACCCAGGGTTGCTTATTAAAAATGCAAATTCCAGGTCTTCACTGTTTCAGAACGCCTGGGATGAGGCCCTGGAATCGGAATGTTCATAGCCCAGGGGAATCTGAATGTTCATAGTCTCAGTGAGAAATAACTAGGACAATGGTGAAAGGAGGGAATGGATTCTGGAGACATTTCAGACGAGATGGGTCAGAGGGAAAGGGACAGCCAGGGGTCCATGGACAGAGATTTCCATCTGATGAGGCCTTACTGTAGAGAGACTACTGATGACTGAGATCAGGCACAGGAGGAATGTGGCTGGGAGATTGGGAGAACTGAGAGCTTGGTTTGTGGGGCTCTGAGAATGACATACTTTGAGGATGTGCATCGGGGCAGGTGCCAGGTGTGCTCTTTGGTGTATTGCCTGCTCCTGAGGGCCTAAATCTTCTGATAAGCAGAACTGCATAAAACAAAGAGATCTATAAAACACTATCCAATAATGTGGTCATGCCCGATTATAAATTTCAAATGCAGAAGTGGTCTAAGACCAAGCTCTGAGACCTTATGCTCTGGGTCATTCCCACATCTCTGGCCCAGACTCGTGGGATGCATCCCTGGCCGTTGTTCCTGCACCAGTCCATCCTTCCCAGTCTCTCACATTGCCACCCTTTCTCTCTTCATTACTCCCTTTGCCATGACACTTCCCCTTGCAGCAGCGTTAAAATTATATCTCCCCCACGGTTATGGACTAAATTGTGTCCCCCTCCAAAATTCTGGTGTCTTATAAGAAGAGGAAGAGATGCCAGAAATCTCTCTCTCCATGGTGAACAGAGGAAAGACCATGTGAGGACACAGGGAGATGGTGGTCATCTGTAAACCAGGAAAAGACTCTCACCGGACCAGCCCAGACAGCACCTTGATCTTGGACTCTGGCCACCAGAACTGTGAGAAAATAAATACCTGCTGTGTAAGCCATCCAGCCTAATGTATTTTGTTATGTCAGCCCTCATAGACTGGTACACCCACTAAATTGCAGGACTTGAAGATGGGACTCTAACTTATTCATGTCTGAATCTACAGTTCTTGCATACAGTAGGCATTCAATAAATACTTGTTGAATGGTTCCAAGAAATAAAGCCCATCACAACAGTTCTGAGAATACACTCTGCTTCCCCATGAGAGAAAACCACTACTTTAAGCACAGGGCATGGCAGTCAATAAAAACAGTTCTCTCATGGTTGGAGTATAACTCATGAATCACATATTTAGGCAGATTTTGAGCATGATGTGATTGGAATGCAAATAAAAACCCCATTAGAACTAATTCTCATTCAAAACTTATCCTACCCCTCCAAATTGTTTTGTTATAGAGGAGTTTTATTTAAAAGAACACATTGCTCAAAACCAATTCCCAGTCTTACCTGACCAAACTGAATTTCAGTCTCTCCAGTGATCCAGCAAATGTCGAGAAATGAGGCCCTGCCTGCATACACCCCAAACCCTCTCCTCCTCCAGGATCCATGGTCATTTATCCTACCCCTCCAAATTGTTTTGTTATAGGGGAGTTTTATTTAAAAGAACACATTGCTCAAAACCAATTCCCAGTCTTACCTGACCAAACTGAATTTCAGTCTCTCCAGTGATCCAGCAAATGTCAAGAAATGAGGCCCTGCCTGCATACACCCCAAACCCTCTCCTCCTCCAGGATCCATGGTCATTTAGCATATTATTCATCTCTGTTGGTGGGTGACTGGGATATTTGGGGTTGGAAAGGGTGAGGAGAGTAGAAAGGTAGTTGCCACAGAATAATTTTGTTTTGGCTCAACGAGCCTTCCCTAACAGCAGAAGGAAGACCACACAGTTGAGTTCCAGAGAGCGATGCAGAGGGAGGCAGCATGTGCACTGCAGGACGTATCCCCAGGGGCAACTTCTCATCCCCAGGCCAACCCAGTGCTAGCACTAGAGGCACTCTGTCCACACATACAAATCATTTTTTGATACAGCAATTGTATTTGCAAAGACGTGCATTTACCTGGCATCGACAGTCCAGGGTGGAAGAAGATCGTATCCTAACAACCCTTGGTGGCCCCTAGTGTGGTCAGTAATGTGGTGGTGCAGATCTCAGCTGGGAACAGAGAGCCGAGCTGGTGACGGCGTTATTACTGATAAGCATTATTGGCAGGACCCCCGGAGCATCTTCCCGTCCTCTCTTCCTTCTCATGAAAGAAATTCCTAGGGAGAAAGGAATATGTTAGAGCATAAGAATATCATGGCATAGGCCTTAGAGTCTAAATCTTCTTTTCCCACAACATCTCCATTTTGTAAAATTCCCAAATTTGATAGGTGATAAAAAGGTAACTTGTTTTAATTTGCAATTATTTGATGGCTAATGACATTCTTTCATGTTAACAGTCACTTGTATGCTTCTGTGATGGATCATATTTTCATGTTCTGTGTCCACTTCTTTCCTTGAGCTACAAGAATGCTTTCTAAATTTAACATTTTATCACATATTATTACAAATTCTTTTCCCCCAGACACTGGAGTATCTTATAGAAAACATAAAACGCAGCTGGAGTTTTCTTAAAAACATTTACTTACTGTTGAAGTCTGACTATCCTCTGCAGATCACTGAGGTTCACAGCCTGAAGGAATCATGTAGATACTGCAAACAACCCCCTTGCTTTACAGGTGAGGAAGTTAACTCACTATTAGCCTGAAGTGACCTGTTTAGTAGCAAAGGCAGCACCACAGTCTAGATTGCCCAAGTCCAAGTAGGCACTGTTTCTCCCCTAAACCCACCAGCTCACTGTCAACAGTCCATTTATGTGTGAAGTTCGCACACCCATTCATGTGGCTTGAACTTTGGGGACATTTAATAATGGCCTTTATTCACCAGAAGCAACAACCAAAATCAACTTGATTATTGATAATAATCTTCATTAAAAGCCTCAAAGGAGGGCTGGCCAGTTAGTTCAGTTGGTAGAGCATGGTGCTGATGACACCAAGGTCTAGGGTTTGATCCCTGCACCGGCCAGCCACCAAAAACAACAAAGCCTCAAAGGATAGAACTTTTATTTATCAAAGAATGAATCTTACTTATTAAAGGATGGATTCTTATTTGTTAAAGTACCATCTACCCAAGGCCAAACCCGTAACAACAGCAACAACAAATACAGAGATGTGTTGTTTTCAGAAATACTGTCTCTGTTCCCACTTTCTTCTGTGAAATGGAGCGACTGGTAGTCATCACTGCTATCAACCAGTGCTTCTACTGACGAAGGGCACCGTGCTTCACCTTGTGGGTCATGATATTGGGTGTCAGGCATGTCCTTTCAACAAATAATAGAAGTCCATTCAACAGCACAGCACTTTTAGCCAAGTCCTCCAAAAGAGAGTGAGATGTTATGTCGCTCCCCACCTCCACCAGACATACACAGGTGTTGTGTGGAATCCATGCCACCTCTCCTGGCTTCCGGCTCTGAGATGAGGCTGGAGCCTGGACACACTTGCTTCCCTCTGGTCCCCCTCCTGTCCTCCTGCCATCCTTTCTCTCTCTGTTGCTCCATCTCTTCTCACACTGCCCTTTGGGTCTTGGTGATCCTCCTAAGGGCGCTTGGCCTAGGAGCTATACTTTCAATCAAACTGATCGCCAGATGCAAGACCTAAGCCAAGTAGCACAGTCCCTTGGAAGCTCGGCTCCTTCGCATCATTGGCATTTTAATGCACTTCTGGAAGGCTGGGGTATAGAAAAAGCTCGAGTCTGAATAGCACTTTGCCCATACGAGTCTCATGGAAATGCCAAACTGAGATAACAAATCGGCAAGTGGGGAAACCAGCACGGTGGTTTCCATAGATGTTTAGGGATGTGGGCTTTGCAGAGCCGGTGCCCTGGCAGGTCTACCCGAGACTGCCAGCTGCATTTACCTCTCAGCAAAAGGGGGAGGAACAGATGGACAGTGGAACTGATAGAGAAAACAAGGACAATCGGAGAAGGCAATGAGTTTTAAATGCCATACATGAGTGCTTGCTCGGGCGTTCTCCAGAGACCGAAGAAGCAAACATTTCCTTCCACATTCCCATTCAGTTGAGCACAGTCCTCCCATGGCCCCGGATTCCCAGCCTACCACATCACTCTTAGGAAGAAAGAGAGAGGGGGCTGAGGGGGGAGGCTTGGAGGGGAGAAGAAACAAAAAGAGAGGAAAGCCAGCAAAACCAGAGTTTGAGGAGTGGGCCACCTGAAGCCTCTTGTTCCCAGGCAACCGAAAAGACAGCCTGACCCTAGGCTGGACTTCCTAGGCATGCAGATCCAGAGAAAAGAGCAAATTCTTCCCTCTGTGTGTGTGCAGTAACCTGATAAACAGAAACCCATTTGTGAGATGGAATTTCCAC